AAGCCGCGACTGTGGGCGGTGCTGGAGGAGCACGGGACGGAGGGCGACGATTCGGTTTCTTCCTTTTACGCGGTCCGGACGATGGGTCACTCGAATCGGAGTCTGGAGCGTTCGGGGGCGGAGAAGTGCTGTGTTGCAACAAATCCGTCCCTACATTCGTCACTGCTGCCTGCATAAGTAGTAGACCATCCGAATCGGTAGAGAAAGAAAGAGAACTTGAAGAAAGACTCGACTTCGTCGCCGAAGCTGACGAGTTCAAGTCAGTCTCCGGATCGCCAACCTCCTCAGTGTCGGGGTCCGACCGTCTTTGGCACGGAGCCTCTGGTTGCGAGACCGTCGCTTCATCACTGGAGGCGGTGAGAGGTGCGGGAGTCGAGTGTTTCGGCGTGCGGGGTGGACTGTGCCTCGCACGCCTTACTCTTTTCCCGGCACCTCGTTCTCGGAGGAAGTGCTCTCAGACCAGACCTCGCGGTCGGTCGTCCCAGAGTCATAGCGGTCCATGCCGGCGAGAGTGGTGTCGCTGCCAAGCGACGTGAGCGCGGCGACGATCACCCGTCGGAGGTCCACGCGCGCGTTCGGACACGCCGTCGAGTAGTGCCGCGCCACCTTGCCGCAGTTCCAGCAACGGACGTCCTTCGCAAGCTCCGGAGCATCCTTGCGGTGCCACTCGGCTTTCTGCGGCATAGGATGGGCAGCCTGCCACTTGACGGCGGCGTCGTACCAGTGCGCGGGTGCCGACGTCGACGTACCGGTGGCTGCCGGGGCCGAAGTCGAGGCGGGAGCGAGGGGCTTCTGCAACGACAAACTCTTAGTACCACTCGAGGGCTTTGTAGAGTGAGAGGGAAGTGACTTAGCAGCGTAAGGTTCCGCCGCTCGGCCGGAAAGCAAGTCCGACCGGGCGGCGATCTCGACCGCCTTCGCGAAAGGCGGTTCCCGGTCGCCGTGCACGTCCTTCCACGTCGCCAACTGGACGCGGTAGAACTCGCGGACGTCCCGGCGCAACCCGTCGACGAAAAAATCGCGGCGCGAGTCGTCATCGTAGACGCGGTCGAAGCATTCGTCGGCGAGCGAGTCAATGACCGCACCGAACTCTTGCGCCTTCATGGAGCCCTGCTCGGCGGTGCGAAGCGCTCGACGTGCACGTTCGCTGGCGTCGCGATCGACCCAGTGTGCGCGCATCGCCGTGAAGACGTCCGCCAACGAACCGAACTTGCCCCGATCCATCTGCGAGTCGAACCATCGCTGAGGCGAAACGCCGCCGGACTTTGGCGCGTCGGAAGAGAATAGAGCGCGGACGACGCCGAGCACCGTGGCGTCGATCGGCGTGTCGGACCCGATCCGGACGGAGATGAAGTAGTTCTTGACCGACTTGATGAATCCTTCGCGGGCGAGGTGGTCAAACGGCCCCGTCCACGCCTTCGGCTTGTCCACCTTGAGCTTGGCGTGACCGAACAAGTCAACGGCGGCCGGGGGCGGAGTCGAAACCGACGACCGAGGAGGCGCGTCGCGGGTGAGCTGCGATGCCAACTTGAGGGCGATGGCGCGCCGCAGCGACGCGGCTTCCTGCTCGACCGTAGCGAGTCGGCGCTGCGCGACGTCGACCGTCTCCTCTGCTGCAGACCCGCGAGGAATTGGCCTCACCGATCCCGCATCGGATTCGATGTCGGCCAGGCGAAGTTCTTCCTCCATCTTAACCCGCGCTGCTTCCTGCTCCCGCTCAAACCGCTCCTGTCTGGCGGCTGTCTCCTGCTCGAACCGACGCGCGTACTCTTGTTGGCGACGGAGAGAAGAGGCGGAGGAGGCGACCGAGGACGGCGGAGGAAGGCGCGGCGGGGCGACGAAAGCCGGACCAACCGTCTCGTCACCTTGGCGGGGCTCACTTCGCCACACATCCATCGGCTCGACAGACGGCGGCTTGGGCGAGTTGAGTACGGGCGGGGCCGAGTCGAGGGTGGTCGGGTCGCGAGCAGCCATGACGAGGTTGCTAAAGCGGACCGAACGGTTGAGGCGCGATTGGGCGGTGAGGAAGGTGTCGTGGTCTGAAGGGGTGTACGTGGGGCTTCGCACGAACCGGTTCGACCGTCGGAGCGGGCGTGGAGGGTCGTCAGACGAGGACGACGATGAAGTGGAGGTTGAGTGACGGCTCGACGTCGGTCGGTCGCTGCTGCTGCTGCTGACGGCCGAGCGACGCGACGAAGAGTCGGAGGGGGTAACGGAGGATAAGGAAGAGGAAATGGTGGCGGTATCGATATCGTGCTTGACTGTTAAAAAAGTGCAGGGCGCACCGCTCTCGAGCTCAATGCGAGAGAAGGCGTCCTGCTCAGTTCTGGGTCGTAGCTAGTCGGAGACGTGCGTAGCGAGTCGTAGACGGGCCAGAGCCAATAAACAGTGACTCAAGTATAGATTTCGAGGGGATATGAGCGAGGAGGGTGGAGTGCTAAAGAGAGAGGAAGCTACGACCAAGTCCGAGCGAGAAGTTCCACCAACACCACCTAAGTCGGGCGACGGCGTCTTGAGGCGGCGGCCAGCACTTTGTGACCAGCGCGGTGTAGGATATCATCTGCAATCGGAGGTAGTGTTAGTGACGTTCGAAAAGAAAGAGAGAGGAAGAGACTTAGAATGGGAAGACGATGACGAGCGAGGCGAAGGTTGGGACCCTGACCCAGCAAAGCGGCAGTGGCGGTGTGACAGCCACCTTGCGGGGCTGCGCATGGGAGGACGTGGCACAACTGGCGCGCACGCACAGAAGTCTGCAGATTCCCGTATCTTATCTTATCCTATCCCGTTGCTGGCCACGGAGGGACCTCGAATCATGCAAGGATCTGCCCAGAGCAGCCTCCATCAACGCAGGTTTCAGCTTGCCCTCTATGCTGTGGCCTACTTGCATATAGGCAACAAGCAGTCTGACCAGAGCCAGAGGCTGTCCTTTGTGACTTGCTGCCTGCCAGTATCAATATCATCCTCGTTACGCTGTTCACAAAGGTTTTCAGTTATATGGCCTCTGCAGCCTGCTTGCTGTCAGGACTGTCATTTGATGTCATGATGTTGCCCCTGCACATTCTGCATACAGCTGGAGCAGAGCCAACTGCAAGGCCTGCTCCTTGATCCGTCCACTCTTGCTCGCTTCGTCCTCTTCCAAATTCTAAGTCCTTTTCCTCTCGCTTTTTGTTTTTTCGAACCTTTGCTGACTTGACCTTTTTCCCAGATTATACTACCATATACTTGTGCTCAAAATCAAGATGTCAACGGGGTTTTGGATGGTCAAGGCGAGTTGGATGATCGAGCTTGGCTTGAACCGCAGCCCTCCTGTTGTAGCTCCTCTCTTCTTCACCTCACCTCTCTCTACTTGTGATCAACGCTTAATTCAGGTTGTTTGGTTACATGTGTCTCTCTCGCTCTACCGTCCCTTGCAGAGTACCCTGGTCTCGCTTGCACTTGAGACGAGTGGCATCTGCACCAATGATATGGAGAGGAGTAGACTTACTTGTTCTTTGGTGAGTTCTTTATCTAAGTCATATTGAGGTAGTTTGAACATGGGCTTGCTATAGCTCAATATGACTTGAAACAAGATTACTCATCTATCTATCACTTCCATCCGGCTGGCTGTGCGCAAATAAGCAGCGATTGACTACACTGTGCATAGACCCATTCTTGGGGCGTTTCCTGAACCCTGCAAGTCAAGTGTGTCTACTGCTACACACATGAGACATGCTGAAGCAAGGTGATTTGCAGCAACACAGCACTGATCAAAAAATGTTATACTGTAATGTGGGTTCCTTCACTGGCTCACAAGGCTCACAAGATATCCAGATCCCTTCCACCAATGCAGATTTGGGTAGACATTATACAGGAGTGATACATCCTGGAGAGGAATAGACTCGCTCAGATTGCCCTACTACCTTCATCAGTTAGATTATCCTAGCTGGGCTGCATATCCTGAGAATGCCTTTCCTACTTGTTTTGAAGTGTCACCAGTGGCAGATGGGTCAGAAGCACTTTCATGGAGCAAGAGGCGGGTGTGGTGGATAGTGTCCCAATCTCACAAGCTTGAGACGATGCAGCAAGAAGAAACAACATTTTGCTAAGTCCCTCCCATGAGTGTGCGAGCCAAGTCAGCACAATTTTTCTCATCCCGCCACACCCCTTGGCTTCATCTTGTCAGTTGTCTTGCTGCTGCCATGGGCAGATGCCAGACACTTGATATTGTGCCCTCGCAGTTGCTATTAGCTTTGCACATGCTGCTGGAAAAACCTGCAACTGCCCTCAAGATTGCCCAACATTGTTCTTGCGATGACCTGGCCAGCCACCTGTCGAAGGCGCAGGGCGAGATGCACCGTTTATCCCCACAGCGACCATGCTAACAACCACGTCAGTAACCACGCTGACAACCACACTGACAAGGATGCCAGCAAGGATGCTGACAACAGTTCAACTACACACTATCTCAGTGCTGAATGTGTGACAATTGCAAAAGTGATATTGCTCACTTCTTGACACGGGCCCAGGTCAGCAATCTGGTCAGAGACTTGGTGAGCATGAACACACTTTTCTTGGCCAGGCTGTGCGCGCTGACCCTTTCTGTGCCTGCCGCGCAGCACCATCCAGTCATTCGGACTGAGAGACACTTGGAGGACTTCCTTGATCTCCCGCACTTGTACAGCTGTACCTGTACCAATCTGCAATACCCTCTACGCAGCAAAAGTCTTTCCTGATGGCGGCGGGTGGATGTACTGACATCCTCAATCCCAGGATCCCTCCAGTTCCCACATTTGCTCTTTGTAGACATAGGTGTCTGCTGCACTGGCCCTACTGTCAGCCCAAAGCGCCAATGCAAGAATTTGTTTGAAACTTTCTAGTCAAAATATGTCGCTTCGGTGAACTCCCCTCCTCTGCGCAACTGTACACACTTCCCTAGTTGCAACTCAGTGGTAGGCGTATACAAACCAGTTCGTGTCAGGAGTGGGGAAAAAAGTACCGCAGCTGTGTAACCAAAAAAAATTCGACCACTGCAGGATTTGAACCTGCGCACGCATAGCGTAACAGATGGGCAAGAACTTGATTCTAGTCTGTCCCCTTAACCACTCGGGCAAATGGTCCTTGATGAAAGGGTTCAAAAATTAACGTATACAATCATTTCTGCTGCTACCCAGCCGCATGATCTGACTTTCCCAGCCCTGCTGCCGCTGGCTCTGCGCCGGGGGAGGTCCAAGACTAGTGCGTGCACAGCCTAAATACCAGCGGACCAGCGGTCGGTAATCAGAGCTGATATGAGTTGGGACCAGCGCGCCATCAAGATGTGCGGCGAAGGACGTTGACGATAGCACTTCCGAAACTTGTCCGCAAGTTCAGTATATACGGGTTGATTGCCACATGTTTCCACCTACAGCATGGCAAGGCACTTTGCATGCTCAGATTACTGCTCCTCATCCGATTCCGGCCGTGTGTCAAAGACCGGCTTCGGTTGCGACGCCGCCCACGCCTTGGTCCACGTATTCTCGCCGGGATCCTGCGTCGCATACTTGAGCAGCGCTTCTCGAGGCTGCATACAGGGAACATGTCAGTCCTGAACGTAACCAACAAACATAGGGATCGCTTACATCCTGATCGCGCATCTCGTTCCGCAACAAATTCTGGACGACATGCTGAGTCGCCGCCGCGCCGATCCTTCCTCCCCGACCAGGACCAACGACAGGAGGCACTGCGATAGAGCAAGAACGTCAGCAAAGTCCAGCATGCCTGGCAAGGCCGGCATGGGCGCACTTGGCTTGAGCGTCTTCTGCGGATCGTGTCGCTCCTTCTCCCTCCTACGCTTCGTGCCTCGCCCACCGGCGCTGGTCCCTACCGCTCCATCCTCCTTGAACATCGGGAGAGAGTGCGGAGCAATGATTGTAGCATGTGCTGCGCCACCCGAGCCGAAATCGTCGATTGCGCGCGCCTTCGGAGCTTTCGTTATCGCCATGGTCACCCCCTTGACGGCCGATTCCGGCGAGTACAACACATGGATCGATCCGTCTGCCGAGCCCGTCAGGATCTGCGGTCGCGGACGAGAAAGTCAGCGTCGTCTGCTCTGCCGCTGCATGTTGACAGCAACGGACCTGATTGATTTTCGGATGCCACAGGACGCGGACGACAGAAAAAGGCGATATGGCTACGCACCGAAGCCAGGTTAGCGTCAAGACTTTTCGGAGGTCAGAACCCGGGTACCTACCGATCTTCTTGACGATGCGGAGGTCGTGAGAGGAAAGGACGACGAGCTGGCCGGCGCCGATCCCGCCGGTAGAGGCCAATTCGTTTGCTCTCTCTTCTTCGCCGCCACCAGAGAGTACTCCTGCCTTCATACCGGCCGTACCCGTCAATACGTAATCGCCGCTTGGCGAGAACGTCACGTTCGTCTCCTGATTCAGAGATGGCAAAGACGAGGCAGTCGCGATCGGCTTCTTGAGATTCTTTGCGTTCCACACTGATCGCAAGAGCACGCATAGTCAGCATACGAGAACCATATCGTGCATATACAGAGGGGGGAATTCCGTACGCTTAACGGTTCCATCCCCGCCGCGAGTTGCGAGCTGTGTTCCGTTGGGCGAATACGCGATCGAACTCGTGACGGTCCCCTTCTCGTGGGCACCCTCGCGTGTCTGCTCCGAAGTACGTCAATGAGCTGATCAAAGAGGGAGAGGTGTAATGCACCGGCACGCACGAGGGTAGGGCGCGAAAAGTTACCGGTCGCTGACCAGACGTGTATTGCGCCGTCTTCGCACGCTGCCGAGACAGTGCAAGCGTGTGAGCTCCGACCTCAAGCACAGTGCCATCATACGGAAGGCTCACCTGCTGCGATGCTCCTGCCATCAGGACTCCACGCACACGCCGTCACTTTCGTCTTGCCGCCCCGTTCCTTACTCCGAACGACGATGACCGATTTGCTTTTCCGGCGGTTGTCCAACTCCCAGATTCGCAGACTGCTGTCGGCCGAGGCCGTAAGGAATAACGAGCTGTCCTTCGGGTGCCAGGCGACTGCCGTGACCGCGGCAACGTGGCCGCTGCGGTGGCGAGGACGAACAAGAGGAGGACCCAGGTCAGCCGCAACTCGACCAACGAGCCGCCGCAGAGGAAAGACGTACTCTGTATTCCGCAGGTCGCGGATGTACATGTCCCCCTTGTTGTACTCCCACCTGTAATGGAGTATGATCAGTGCGGCCTCGAGGGGTTCCCCGACAAAGACAGAGACCGGCTTACTTTTCGGCGCCGTCGCGATCGTACAGTTTCACTTGGGTGGAACCGGTCGCCGCAAGGAAAGAGTCTCCGGTGATGGAGAACTGTACATCGAGCACCTGGCAGAGCTCGGAGGTTCAGTGAAGCGCGTCCAGAGCGAATGACGGAAGAGCACGCACCTGATGACCAGGTTTGCATTCAAAACTCCGGAATGGCTTGAAGTTGGCATTCATCCCGCCAAAGTCCCAGAGCTTGCAGTCGTAGTCGTACGAACCGGAGACGACTCGAGCGCCTGCAGGGTCGATCGAGAGGGCCGACACAGTCTGTTGTTCGCAACTGGGTACGTGAGCGGTTTTCCGGCCCTCGCTCTCACCAGGAATGCGCGCGTTGCCCACCTTGGTATGGTCTTTCATGACGACTTCGTGGGTAGTGGGCAAGGCGGAGTCGTCAGAGCCAGCGTCGTCTGCTCCGTCCCTCGCCTGGACCGCGGTCCCCTGCGCTGCCGATTCCTCCGCAGCAGATGCCGCTGTCGTCGAATCGGCGGCACCGGCCCCGACTTGCTCATTTTGAGGCTGTAGTAATCGGATGTCAGCCGCGTACTGCAAGGAGCGAAGTTCCAAGGTCGGCGCGAGTCGCTTACCGCAAGGGCGAGGGGAGGGCTGGCACGCTTCGTGGTGTGCAGTCGCTGCGAGTCGACCTGCTTCTTTGGTGCAGCCTTTTTGCCGAAAGCAAGCGGCAAGCCGGTCAGCTCGTCCATGCTCCCGGTCGTGCGAGAAGTCAAGAGGCTCGAGATCGCCGTTTGACGTCTTGACACCTTTTCATCACTGCAATTACATCAAGGCGAACACAGCTGTTCACCCGTCGATCCGAGCAGTGCACACTCCCAAACGACATACTCGTACACTAGCGACTCTCCCTCTCGACGGCTCTCTGCGCCCGTCGCTGCCACCTCGGCCCAGTCACTGCCTTCTCACCCGAGCCTTCATCAGCATCACCGCCCCATGTCTGCCGACCAAGCATCGACGGGCCAGGACCCCCTGCGATTGACAATCGAGGAGGTCGGCGCAGCCAATCGTCGTGCTCAGATCGATGGTGAGTCCTCGACCGTCGACTCCGCCCCCCACCTCGGGATCGAGTCGGTCATCTGGGAGGCCGGGTAGTGATCAGCTGTTGCAGCGAGAGAACTGAACCAGCCAAGTTATGCCATACAGGCATCGCGGCCGGAACATGCGCTGGATTCCTTGGCGGCTTCATCTCGACGCGGATGCTTCGACAGTCGCGGAACATTGGGTAAGCTGCTAGCAGCCCCGCCTCGAACACCCGCGCTTAGGGCGTCGTTGTACAGTTCATTCACGCTGACAAGGACATGTGCACCTCGCGCCAGCCTACTTTCGGGTATCCTGACGGGGTCCATCGTCGGGTCGGTCCAATTTTCCTAAGAGTTTCCGCTGCAGACTGCGCTATCCGGCGGCTCTTGCTCATGCCGCCGCCCCTTTTCCAGCTACCTGTTTACCCAAGAGTCGCTCAAAATCCAACTGGCAAAGGCTCGTGCTTCGCAGACCAAACTTCACGAGCATCTCTCTCCAGCCGACGCCGAATTGTGGGACTTGTCCAAGGGAGAGCGAGGTGTGAACGGACAAGAGACGCTGCAGGACAAGTATGCGACAACACGTGGCGATCACTGAAACACAGATGACTGTACAATATGTGAGAACTAGGCTCAGGGCGCTTCGTACCCTTCGCCAGTCGATCTGGGGAAGAGACTAAAGACGCTGCCGAAGGTCGTCAAGCGCGGAAGGCCGTGCTTGCCAGAGTACTTGTTGTTCTCCTCAACATGCTGGCGCCGAACTTTCTCGCGGAATTCGTCCTGCGTGTGTGACGATGTGAGTTTCGAAGCCGGAAGCGAGAGAAAGCTGTCGAGCACTCACCTCGAAGCGCATGATGCCGTAGTTCTGCGTCAGAAGATCAAACGAAGTAGACTGCACGCCAGAAGAGGGGGGTCAACAGAGAACGTTTGGCGCGAGGAAGAACGAAGCACGCACATCTGCATCGGATCTTGCCAAACGCTCGCGAATCCTGGCCGCCGCCATCAATTTCGCCTCTGCCTCCTTCTCAGCCTGTGTAGGCATCAAAGATCTGCGCGAGAATCAAAGCAACTTAGCTTGGCGACTCGCGGGTCAGCGGCACCCAAGACACTCACGGCGGAGCTGTCCGCGCCTCCACAGGCTGTTCGGGCTTTGGTTTGGCGGGCGCCTGCAAGCGCTCCGAGGGACGTCAGCAAGGCTGCGCCGGGCCCATCGAATCAAGGCGTGAAGGAGACCAACCGTGGGCTGCAGGACTTCGAGGATATTGAACGCGCCCGACTTGGTCGGTTTCAGGCCCGCGGAAGACGGTTTTGGTGCGCCCGGAGCGATCTTGGACGAACGGATCTTGTTAAGCGGGTTGCGTGCTGCGTTGGGTTTTGGCACGGGCGGCTTGCCCGCGGGGCTCTGCCCTGGCTTGGGCGAAGGCTGCGCGATGGAACCGCTACTCGCGCCTGCCGAGGTCGTGCCTGCTGCTTGCTGTTCCGTCGAGACTGTCTCTTCGCTCACCTCCTTGCTGGTGGCTGCGTGCAGGTCCTGGTCTGCGGCGGGCAGCGGTAGGTTCGCCGCAACGGGCGTGCCGATCGTCTCGCCGACGGGCACGGGAGTCGCACCCATCGAATCGTCCCCTCCCGCCGGGGCGCGACCCGATTGTACACCCAGCGGCGTAGCGGCCTGCAGACTCGTAACGGGCTGTGGCGTCTTTGTCGGGCCGGGAGCGTCCTGCGGACTCGCCAGCGGTATGGCCGAAGACGAGTCGCGATCAACCTCGGTCCCTACTTGATCGAGAGGCCTCGGTACGGCGG